AAGCAATATAAGTCTCTGTGTTTACTTGGTTGGGTCTGAGCGGCTGTGGGACTGGCGGGTGACAGAGATTTGTCCTGACTGTAGGCAAGGCAGGAAAACTCTAGCTACACGTAATCTAGAAATTATATTATTTACCTTATAACTGCAAGAGCAAAGTAGAGGCTGAATCATTGCTTAGATCAGAAAGGGAACTTACCATCCTCTCTGTCACCCAGGATCGTTACCCCGGAGGTGGGGAATTTAGCTCCCAGCTGCCCTCCCCCTGGCCGGCTCAATGTAATGCCAAAGGACTCCTCTTCTTCATAGAGGGAGTCATTGATGATCAGGACCTGGCAGGTCTTCTCTGTCTCACCCTTCTCAAAGTCGAGCATGCTGGTGTTGTCTTCTGGTCGTGAGACATAATCTGACCAAGATAACTCCATGGCAGGAATCGTGCCAGTGGCAGAACCTGCAGGCATGTGAAGAAACACAGGAATGGTGAGAAGATACAGAATTCTTAATGCAAGTTTCTTCCTGGTTTATCAGACTATTTGTAAACAACAGCCATCTGAATGACGTACTTACCTCTTCCATTCACAAGTATTAATACTGCAGTTGGAAGGCTTTCAGCACAGTCTATTTGACATGGTGCAGATTTACTAGTCTTTAAGGAGGTGTCAGATCCCAAGGACATTCCACCAATAAAAGGGCAGGCCTACTGACTGGGTCCGGAATTGAGTCTAGGCCCAGTTCAACCTGGACAATAGAAAGATTTCTGGCAGTTGGATAAAAGCTAGTGTTCCTCAGGAACTTATGAAAGTAGTTCCCCTCTGCCAAAAGGAGTCATTCCCCTCACCTCTGGTAAAAGGGACACATGGCTCTATTGAGAGACACTGTGACTGCATTTCAAAGCCCATGCTGGCTTCCCAACTCCCTTGGTCCCTACTCGAAGTACTTGCTGTATATTTCACAGTCCACGCTCGCCTGCCAGGCTCCCCCCTTCGTAGATACCCTTTGTTTTCTTTATAACAGCAAGGTTTCCCTGCCCTGCTGTTACCACTATTCTCTTGCTCTCTCTCTTGCTCGTCTTCCCTTTCTCTCAGACAGCCCTGGCCATGTCCATTCTGTTTCTCTTTCTCTCTGCTCTGGACTCTTCCAGATGTCTCTGGATATTTTCTCTCTTTTATGCACAATAAAAACCTTTCCCTTGACCTTACCATGGAGCGGTCATGTATACTACAGCTGGATGAGCCTTGACCTTACATTAATAGATGGGGAAATAGAGAGGCAGAGAAATGAGAACCAGGAAGTCCGTAGTCTGACAACTGCATAGAAGTTTTCCTGCCTTCCCTGCCATAGTGACACAGCATTTACACAATCTTTCATTCCCACTCTGATTAGAGCTCCCTGCACACCACCATCATATGGCCATGAGATTACCTGTCAGTTTACAAACAGTGATTTTGTAAGGATTGATCAGGGGATTTTAGCTTGGATTCAATGCACCTTACATATGTTTATTTTTAGTTTTTTGTTTTTTTTTTTTACTTTTTAAATTATGTGTATATATATATGTGTGTGTATAGATATGGGCACATAAGTACAGTGCCTATGGAGGCCAGAAGAGGGCATTTGATCTCCTGGAACTGGAATTACAGAGGACTATGAGCTGTTGACTTGGATTCTAAGAACTGAACGTGGGTCTTCTGAAAGAGCAGCAAGGGCATGCTCTTTGCTGCTGAGCTATCTCTCTAGCCCCATCTTTAAATTTTTTTGAAACAGTTGACTTGTGTTAAGACTTACCAGTATAAATACACAGCTTGTTGAGTTTTGATAAATCCATATAATATGTAACTAACACTATAAAAGTAATATAGGACATTGTTTTCCTCCCACAAATACTGACAATACTGACTTACATTTCCTATAACCCCTCTTCCTCTTGTCTCCCATCCCCCAGACACCACAGATCTGCTCTGTGTCATTATAACTTTATTTGATATCATGAGAATTCCATATAAATGGAAACACACACCATGCGGTCTTTTTGTCTTGACTCTCATTTACCACAGTACTTTGAGACATCTGCGCATCATGACTTTGTTTCCTTTTATTGCCGACTCTTGCTTCCTGTCAGGTCCAAAGGAAACTCCAAGTCCCCAAACTCCCAAAGGCAGTCCAAATATCCAGAAATGAGATCAACCTGGACTATAGGAGGATTTCTGGTGTTTAGATAAAAGCCAGTGTTCTTCAGGAGAAACTGGTTACCATCTACCAAAAGGAGTCATTTCCCTTACCTAGGTAGGGCAGAAGGAAAATGTGGCTACCCGTGGCACCATCAATATGCCAAAGCAGATTCTGACCCCAGGCTCCCCCAGCAGCGCAAGTACCAGTTACAAATGTCAATGTCCGTGCTGCCATGCTGTCACCCCAACCCTTCTCACCCCCCAACTTCCTACAGTTCACGGGTTCCTCCCCACAGCCACTCATGCTCCTTATAACCCTGCTATCCTCACTGTGTTTTCTCTGTGCTCCGTTTCTGCCTCTCTCATTATCTTTCTTCCATTTTCTATCCCCTCCTCTTTTCCCCTCTCAAAGACAGCCCTGGTCATGTCCAGTTTGCTGGCCATGTTCAGTCTACTTCTTTCTCTGCCCTGGACTCTTCCAGATGCCTCTGGCTGTTCTCTCTCCCATATCTGCAATTAAAACAAACAAACAAAAGCAAAAGCAAAACCCCACAACTTTCCCCTTACCATACCATGAAGTGGCCATGCTGTTAGTTTATACATCTGGTGCAGAAACCTAGGAGATGCATCAATAGACCCCTTTCCAAGGGGCTCAACCTCTCCTAACCACGCCGAGCTGCTGACTGGACTCTCCTAAGGTATGGGTCATTTGTTTCTGCTGGCTTCTGCCACCTATCACATTTGACTCCAAACTTTAGAGTCCGTCTCTTCAGCCACTTCTTCCCTCTACCTGCTCTCTCCTCGTACTTAAGTAAATGTCACTTAGGAGCTGTCCACTTTGTCAGCTCCTGGAGCCTTCTGCTGCTATAACACCCACACTGGTGCATCCAGCAACTTCTCTCACTCTATTGGGCACCCATCACATGGAAAGGGATGCCTTTCTGTGATTTGGGACATCTCACTCTGATTGTGTAAACTTTCTGTATCCCAGGATTTGTAAGTTCGTGGATTTTTATATGATGACTTTTGTTCTGGAATTAAAAAAATGAATACAAAACCATGAAAAATGTTTAAAGAAAATAGGACTTAAAAACAGCATATGTTTGATGATTAAGGTCTACTCAAGTTAAGAGAAACTGACAGAGATGTATGTCTAGCCACTTACATCTTTTCTGTGTTCAGCACCAGGCTTCCAGAAATTTTTAGGTAACAGATAGCATATGTTTGATGAATAAGGTAGATTTGATGAATAAGGTTTATAAATTCCTAAGGTCTATTCAGACTGGCAAAAACTAACTTGAAGATGTATGTCTACCCTCTTTGTCTTTGCTAAACTTTTCTAAGCTTTAGTTCTTTGAGGTAAACTGAGTCATACAAAAACCTGTGATATTCTATAAAGCACACTGTTAAAGAATCAAAAAAATAAGTTTCCTGGTCTGTCTGTAGACTGTGTTTATAGTTTAAAGTTTTATTTTGATACAAAGTGTCTTTTGAACCTTCTATTCAAATTTTTAAGACTCAAATTTAACAAGGATAAATTTGTAAAATCCTAATCTTCTAAAAGCTACTAACTTGTTGTAACTGTTAAAGATAATTAAAACATACAAATTAGTAGTCATTTACCTTATACATTATTAAATTCCTTAATGTGCTCAGAACTATGTTTGTAGTCATGTAAGTAGGAATGTAATTCATTTACAGGGACAAGATTTAGCCTTTTGTATATGTTGTCAAGGTTAAACCTGAAGCAAGTAACTAGAAATAAGTAGTTTGTTTAAAATCTTATACTTAATAGGTAAGATCATGGTCCTTAAACCCCCCAGAAAGTTCTGCTGAATATGGTGTTTAATGAAAAAGACTTCCTCGATAGACAAAAATACCAGCTTCTGGTAGCAGCATCTGAGGCTATCTCCAAAGATGGGCAGCAATGGACTCCATACAGGCTTGCTTCATGTGTGGTAACATTGACCATTGGCCAAAGAACTGTTCCAAGCCTTGCCCACTACCAGGACTACCCAAACTATGGACACTGTTGAGTTAACCGCTTTACTCTGCCTTACCAAGACAGGTCAGTTTTCCCAAGTTCCTCCCTACAGGAAAATCTCTCAGACCTTCTTGGTCTGGCGGCCAGGGGCTGGTGCTGTCCTGGGTGGCAGCCGCTGTATGTAACCAAAGAGTGACAAACGCTGCCCACAACAAAGGCATCAAGATCACCATGGATGACCCCAAGCCGGTTGTCCCATGGTGGGCAAGCCTCTGTCATTTTAAATGATACAGAGGCCCTTTGGATTATACTTCCTTCTCCAGTGTATCGGTGTCAGATGTCTGTGGTGGTGCTGATGGTGAGCTGTGGCTTTATCAGTGTAGCAGCAGCAAGCAGACCTCAGCCAGCTCCTCCCTCCAAGGCTGCAGCTACCCAGTCGTCCATTTCATATATGAAAACTAGGCCTTGCTTTTTCGAGAGCTACTAGGTCTCCTGCTAAGAAAGGCCGACTCACAGGTAGACAGACCTGGCTGATGGGCTTCATACTGAAAAAGATAACCTCACAAAACAGGTTTTAGTACAAAAACAAACTCAAGCTACCATGCTGCTAATACTCACTTAAGACTTACCTTTTACAATTCTTTTATTTAAAAGAACTTGTTTTTCAATGACTGGTCTTAGTAATCAACCACCTATGTCTCATGGACTGAATGGAAAAAAAGGCTTTACATTTATGTAAGTTGTGAGGGTCTGAGAAAGTGACTTAAGGTATGTGAAAACTGAGACTTAAAGGTGATAAATGATGTTAAGCTTCCAGAGTTCAGAGTTTTAACATTAATCAATGGAATTCTGATAAACTATTAATCTGGCCTTGGTAATGTACTGATTGCTATTATCATAGTCACATACTCTTAAATTTAAATTTACTTCAGTTATTTTCTAAATATAGACTTAAAAGTGCTTCTCACTGTGCTGAAAACATGTCTGGCCAATTCATATATGTTCACACCTGCTTCTACTGTGTAGACAACTTCTCAGGCTTTTTTTTTTTTTTTTTTTGCTCTGGTTCCAAGGAGTGAGTCTCTTCCAGCTCTTTACAGACATTGGTTAGCTGCTTTTCTACAATGAGGATTTCAGTGCAGATTACAAATAGTGTTCATGCAAATATATCTAAAACTTTTATCTCCTTTGTCAACTTTTAAAAATTCATATAATTTCAGGGAGTCCACTCTCTCCATACCTATTCAATATAGTACTTGAAGTTCTAGCTAGAGCAATAGTCAACTAAAGGAGATCAAGGGGACACAAATTGGAAAGGAAGAAGTCAAAGTATTGCTATTTGCAGATGATATGATAGTATACATAATCAATCCCCAAAATTCTACCAGGGAATTCCTACAGCTGATAAACACCTTCAGTGATGTGGCTGGATACAAGATTCACTATATATATAAATTCCAAAGAGGCCAAGAAAGAAGTCAGTGAAACTACACCTTCACAATAGCCACAAATAATATAAAATACCTTGGGGTAACTCTAACCAAGCAAGTGAAAGACCTGTATGACAAGAACTTCTAGTCTTTGAAGAAGGAAATTGAAGGAGATATCAGAAGATGGAACGATCTCCCATGCTCATGGATGGGTAGGATCAACATAGTAAAAATGGCAATCTTGAGCTGGGCGGTGGTGGCGCACGCCTTTAATCCCAGCACTTGGGAGGCAGAGGCAGGTGGATCTCTGTGAGTTCGAGGCCAGCCTGGGCTACCAAGTGAGTTCCAGGAAAGGCGCAAAGCTACATAGAGAAACCCTGTCTCGAAAAACTAAAAAAAAAAAAAAAAAAAAAAAAAGGCAATCTTACCAAAAGCAAACTGCAGATTCAATTCAATCCCTATCAAAATTCCATCACAATTCTTACAGACCTTGAAAGAACAATATTCAACTTCATATGGAAAAACAAGAAACCCAGGATAACTAAAACAATCAGGTACAATAAAAGAACTCCTGGAGGCATCACCATCCCCGATTTCAAGCTGTACTACAGAGCAATAGTAATAAAAACTGCATGATATTGGCATAAAAACAGACAGGAGGACCAATGGAATTAAAGACTCCGATGTAAATTCACACACTTATGGACATCCAATTTTTGACAAAGAAGCCAGAAATATACAATAGAAAAAAGAAAGCATCTTGAACAAATGGTGCTGGCATAACTGGATATTGGAGTGTAGAAGATTGCAAATAGATTCATATCTACTATTCTGTTCAAAGCTCAGGTCAAAATGGATCAGACCTCAACATAACACCAGACACACTGAACATGATAGAAGAGAAAGTGGGGAATAGCCTTGAAGGAATTGGCACAGGAGACAGTTTCCTGAACAGGACCAATAGCATAGGCACTAAGACCAACAATAAATAGGACCTCCTGAAACTGAAAAGCTTCTGTAAGGCAATGGACACTGTTAATAAGACAAAATGGCAGCCTACAGAATGGGAAAAGATCTTCACCAACTCCACATCTGACAGAGCACTATTATCCAAAAAATATAAAGAACTCAAGAAACAAACAAAACAATTGAATTAAAAAATGGGGCACAGATCTAAACAGAGAATTTTCAATAGGAATCTCAAATGGCTGAGAAAAAGAAATATTTAACACCCTTAGCCATCAGGGAAATGCAAATCAAAACAACACTGAGATACCATCTTACACCTGTCAGAATGGCTAAGATCAAAAACACAGGGACAGCTCATGCTGTAGAGGATGTGGAGCAAGGGGAACACTCCTCCACTCCTGATTGGAGTGCAAACTTGTACAGCTATTTTGGAACTCAATATGGTGGTTTCCTAGAAAATAGGGACCTAGCCATACCACTCCTGGACATATACCCAAAGGATGTTCCATCCTACCACAAGGACACTTGCTTAACTATGCTCATAGTCACTTTATTCATAACAGCCAGAAACTGGAAGGGATCTAAATGTCCCCCAACCAAAGAATGGATTTTTTAAAAATGTACATTTACCCAATGGAGTATTATTTGGCTTTTTAAAAAAATGACATCATGAAATTTGCAGGCAAATGGATGGAACTAGAAAAGATCATCCTTACTTCTTCCCGACATGTATTTCAACATCTCAGAGGACGAAAGTTCAAAGTGGACATTTAAACTTTTTCAAAAGCTCAAAAGGAAGGTGTGACAATCGTCAGTGAGTTGTCAGTCAGCACGGCCTGCAGGCACAGTTAAGGTTGAACGGAGGGTGGACACAGCTTGCTCGTAACCCACAAGTACCGACTGCGGCTGTGGTAGGTGAGGGAGGCTTACTCAAGGTCGCTTCATCAGGGTTTCCTTTTGCCCCACACTGTCTGCCTGTGATGTCTGATCTTGATTGTCGACTTACTGGATTTAGAATCACTGTGGAAACAACTCTTGGCACGCCTGTGACAGATTAGAACAGGCTATTGAAGTGGGAAGACGCACTGTACATGTGCGTGGCACGTCCTGTGGGCTGCACCCTGGACTCTGTAAGAAGGAGAAAAGGAAGTGAACATCAGCCTTCTCTTCCTCTGCTTCCTGATGGCAGATGCAGTGCGACCAGCTGCTCCTGCCTCCGCGCCTTGCCCATCATGATGGCCTGTACCCTGGAGCTGTGAGCCCAGACAAACTCCTCCTTCCTCGAGTTGTTTTTGTCTGTATTCTGTCACACAGTGAGGAAAGGAATGATGCACCCGTGTTTCATGGAAGGAGTGTGCCTCATCGCTACTTTCAGAAAAAGACGTGGAGGTTTTATTAAAAAAAACAAGGCTTGAAGATGTTTTTTATTTTTTTTAGAGGACAGAGTTGGAAGAATTAAGTCTCCATGATTAGTGAGTGCATCAGCAGACAGGGGGCAGATTTGGAGACAGGCTGTATGACTGGACAGTGCTGAACCAAATAACCGGAATACTGCAGCTGGGGAGACCGATAAGAGAGCTTGCTGCACAGGTGTGTGGACCCGAGTTCAAATCCCAGAACCCAAGTACAAAATCCTCAGTATGCATGCCTATAATCTCACCACTGTGGAGACAGACAGGAGCTCCATGGGGCTGGCTGCCCTAGCTCCCTTCAATGGTGAACACGGTGGCAAGTGGAAGGGCGGGGTACTTGACATCATTTTTTGGCCTCCTTGTGTCCATGGGAGCATGTTGTCGCTCACACACATGTGCACTACTCCCCCATAAGTAAATAAATAACCCCCAGCTCCCAGAACACTGACCCCACATCTGGAGCAGTGAACGCAGCTGGCTGAGTCATAGCTCTGCACTCAGGACGGATGGTGAGGGACTGGCCTGGAACTCTCGGCTTCCATACTTCTTATCCCCCTTTCTCATTTAGGAACAACCAGAGAAACCCAAATACGCTCTCTTAGTCAACCACATAGGACCCTAGATTTCTTACCCCCACTTCCCCACACCACCACCCTTGAGTTAGGCCACACCTGACACCTTCCCCTTACTGGCCATTGCTAAGTTTTCCTATTCTTCTGCCTGCCTTTGGGTCTTTGCCAAATGCATGAGGCAGACTTCCTTGCTCTAGCCAGAAATGAACAAACAGCCTTTTCTTAATCCCATTTGGGTGGTTTTCATTTATTTCCTCATTTTTTTGTTTGTCTGTTGCATAATTCTAATCTGTCAGAGAGCATGCACCTAGGGGTAAGATGCAAGAGAGTTCAGCCAGGAAGAGTGGGGGCATATCTCGTGACGTGAGGACAGTAGAGCTACAGGTCGGAGGCTCCTTACTGTTGTAAGACGAAAGGGAGAAGAGAGACAGAGTGGCTTAGACTGTTCACAGTGCTGCTTGGAAGCCGGGCAGACCCTTAGAGGAAGGAACACTTTGCTTTTGTCCCCGTCAATTCATAGAAACTGTTTCACCCGAGGGTCTCACTGGACTCCCACAAACAATGAGAGCAGGCGTCCTTTTTCCAATGTTGAGGACATTTATCTCTGCTTGACAGAGAACAGCTAGCTGGGGGTACTCAGGGCACCTGAGCAGAGTCAGCCAAGGAGAGAAACCACAATGCATGGGTGATGGCTGAGCCTGGTGTCCAATACCCTGACTCCTGTTTCTCCCATGCCTGCAGCACTCCCAGCATCACTACAACCCCATCCTAATAGCCCTAACCCCACGTGCAAGCGCCCTGTGGAGTCTCAGACCTGGACGTGTGGAGCAGATGACCATAAGCTCCTGGCTCGTGTCTCCAGATTGTCTTACAGGAACCAGAAGCTCCCCAACAGCCTCTGATAGTTTGTATTCTGCCTCTGGAATGTAAACTGTTGATTCTAGAAAAGATGCAAGAAGGTGTTTCAGCAGGATCTAAACTTGGTCCCTGGAATTTTAACAGACCTGTGCAGAGGGGTGCAGTCATGGGCCCCTACTTTCATTTCAATATGATTAACTGTGTCAAGTATGAGAATGGTGTGAAGTATTTATTACTAAGTGAAAAGCAGGGAAATTGGGTTATTAAATTGTATGTGACATACCATCTCCAGGATCCACAATTTCAACTATTGCCGTCTCTGGAAACTCCAGTGCAGCCATGCCAGGTTCTGATAGGATGATTTGGAAAGATTCTGAGGCCTCATACTTATTGTCGGGGATAAGTCCCACCTTCCACGTGGCTGTAGACTGGCCGGGGCTGAAGTGGACCTGTTTAGGAGCCGTTCCTCTGAAATCTTCACTTTCTTTTGCGGTCTCCTCTTTGGTTTCAATGCCTGACAAAGGTCAGGAAACTCAATGTAAGTCGGAAGGAATATTTTCCCTTCAAAGTGGTTTCTATTGTTGACAAAATAGATAACATAGTTATTGCTTCCTTTTAATGTCCCCCAAAGATATTTGTGAACATTGTTCCCGGCTAAAAGAGAAAGCAGAAGTGAGCTGAATTGAGAGGAAAGCAGGAAGGAAGGGTGGGGCATAGCTCGGTGATAGAGCAACTGTAAGTATGTGCCGGGCCTTGGGTTCCTCTGCAAAAAGACAACGTGCTGTCCAAAAGCACCAAGGAGGACTGAAAGGGGAACAGCCACTAATGGGTTCATTTTAGCATTTATTAACCTATGACCTCTGATTGGTCAGATGCTGGGAATTTGAAGATGAGTGAGAAACAGTTCCAGCCCCTAGAGAGCTCACTGTTTACACAGTGAGTGCAATTATGCTTGGTACATAAGAAGTCCTCAATAAATATCACTGAGAGACTATATTATGAAAATTTCTATTTCTGCAGGCTGACTTCCAACTCTCTGAGTGGTTGAGTATGAGTTTGAACTTCTCACCCTCTTGTCTCCATCTCCCAAGTTCTGGGATTATGGCATGGATCACCACACCTGGTTTTATGTGGTGCTGTGGATCCAGGCCAGAGCTTTCCACATGCCAGACAGTTACCTTACCAGCTGAGCACCATCCCCATATACCCAGCCTGTTTAGTGACTTTTGATTATGAGAGAATTCTTAGTAGATTTCTGTTATGGAGTATTAGTTTAAGATGTGTTATATTCATTTATGCTGTGGAATATTTGTTTAATGATGCAAAGATGTATTGCATTCTTTCATGTTGCATTTGTTTAACTCTGTGAAGCTGTGTTTCTTTGCCTGTCTAAAACACCTGATGGTCTAATAAAGAACAGCTAATAGCTAGACAGGAGAGGGACAGGCGGGCCTGGCAGACAGAGAGAGTAAAGAAAAAGGGAGGATCGAGAAGAAGGAGGAGGAGAAGAGAATGCCAGGGGCCAGCCACCCAGCCACACAACCAGCCATGGAGTAGGAAGGAAAGAAAGGTATATAGAACAGAGAAAGGTAAGAGCCCAGAGGCAAAAGGTAGATGGCATAATTTAAGTTAAGAAAAGCTGGCTAGAAATAAGCCAGGCTAAGGCTGGGCATTCATAAGTAAGGATAAGTATTTATTTGAGAGCTGGGTGGTAGGACCCAAAAGAGTAACAAACAAACAAACAAACAAACAAACAAACAAACAAAAAAACCCCGAAACAACAACAAAAAAGCTAACTACAGTTTTCCAGACAATAGATCCATGATAGTGAAAATGGAGAGGTGGGGACTGACTGGAGTGTTGTCAGGAAGGAGGAGTTAGTGACTTACGGAAGAAATTCGTCCACAGCAATCAAAACAGCTCAGGAATATGTAAAACAGCCGGTGTCAGTCAGACACAGCAGTGAAGACTCCCTGAGTCTGAATAAAGTCTCTTTGCCTGTGACGTGTCAAGCACGCTTCTTTGTTTGATTCTGTATGGCAGGGTGGGGTGTGTGGGAAAGGAGAGAAGGCAGAAACAAAGGTCCTGAGGTAGAGAGGTCCGCCAATGTTTGTGGGAAACCCCATGTGATTTTATTTATTTAATTTTTTATTTTATGTGTATTGGTGTTTTGTCTGTGTGAGAGTGTCAGATCCCCTGGAACTGGAGTTACAGACAGTTCTGAGATGCCATGTGGGTGCTGGGACTTGAACCTGGGTCCCCTAGAAGAGTAGCCAGTACTCTTAACTGTTGAGCCATCTCTCCAGCCCCTTTATTTAATTTTCTTTGAGGCAGGGTTTCTCTCCACAGCCCTGGCTGTCTTGGAACTCACTATGTAGATCAAGTTGGCCTCAAACTCACAGAGATTCATCTGCTTTTGCCTCCCAAGTCTGGGATTAAAGGTGTGCCCCACCACATCCAGCTAATTTTTTTCAATAAAAATAATAAAATTGTATATTCAATTAAAATTTTTGAGTCTGTAGTTGAGTGTGTGAAATCAACTGTAATAATTTAATCCTTGTAAATGATAACAGGTCTGGCAAAAAACTGAGATTAATAGCTGCTTGTATAATTCGGCTGCCTTCTTGTCAAATTATCTGAAACTTCGTGGATGATGACCCTCGGCTGTAAAGCATGAACATCGTTTCTTGGGTAGGAGAGCTGGTTTTGTCTTGTAAGCCTATGAAAGAAAGGCTGAACTCAGGGTGTGGCTCAGGGAGTAGAGTGTCTGCAGAGAAGCCTGAGGAACTGTGTCCAGGCCCACAGCACCCAGGGACAAGCCAGGCATCACGTGCATCTGTCACCCTAGTCCTGGAGGTGGGGGCCTGATGACGAGTGGATCCCTGGAACTTGCTGCTCAGCCCATCTAGCAGAATTGATAAGGTCCAGGTTGGGTGAGGAGATTCTCTCAAAAGATAAAGTGCAGATTGACAGAGGAAGATACCTGATGTCAAGCCGTGGCCTCCCCATGTGTGTGCACCCTTGGACACTCGTGTGTGACCGATATGTATGCATAATACACACACACACACACACACACACACACACACACACACACACACACATACAGCCGAATTCATAGAATTTGGAAGCCAAGAGTAACTGTCCGATATTTAGAAGCACACCCTTGGCCACATGTTGGAAGTAAAGACTGCAAGGAGGTGAGTGATCTCCTCAGTGGAGGCTTGGAAGAAGGTGCCACTGTTACAGGAATAAAGCCAGAATGTGGCTCCTTGCTCAGTACTTATGGAGGGTATCAGCATTCTGTCACAGGGAATAAGGTGCAGCCACCACTACCCTCAAGGGGTTTTCCATGTATGGGGACATACACAGATGAACAGATGGTCTCAACTCTGATAGCGCCATGGAGTAACAATAGTGGTCATCATTTGAGTATCATTCTGAATTACTGTCATGTATCAGCTATCAAGGCATTATGAAGTGGACAATCCATGTATGAGGAAGCCTGAGTTCTATGGAATACTCTGGAAAAGCCAGAGCTTGAACAGGAAACCGGGCTTCCTGCTACCTGTGCTCTGCTGGTAGCCCTGGTCTGGGGTGGTCGGGGGAGTCAGGGGGACTTCCTGGAGCAGTGGAGCGAGCCATGTTGGAGGCTCTCTTCAAGCAGCAAGAGGCAGCTTCCACAGTCACGTTGCTAGTGGAGCCAGCTATCTGCTGCAGGGGAAAGCTGTGACACATGGGCCTCTTATGTGAGCTAGAGGATGGCAAGGGTGCAAGTCGGGGAGCGGCTGGCCCAGGTGCAAGGCCTCCTGAGCATCTCAGTCACACACAGCCAAGTGCTCCTCACAGCCGCTACTCTAAAGGTGGAATACGGAAATTCTTCCTGACACGCTAATTCAAACTCACAAGGAGGCCTTGGACGACAGGTTGAGGAAGCCAAGCCTTGAAAGAGAAAGGAGGCATATTTCAGTTGAAGTTCTTGCCAGCAATCCCAGCCACGCATTGATGAAAGGACCTGAGGGGTGGGCTGAGGCTTCAGCTGACCTAAGAGAAAAGTCTGTTCCTGGAGCCTCCTGTAAAGCACACCTTTCTTTGACTAACCTTTCCTGTGCCATGTTTCCTTCCTGAATCCCCTTCACTGATTTCGATATGGTAGCTGGACTCTAAGTGGAATTCTGCTTGTCCGCGAAGCTTCTGATGTTCATTTGTAAAATGAACATCAGCAACAAAAGAGGCTGGGTGTAGTGGTGCACTCCTTCAATCCCAGCGCTTGGAGGCAGAGACAAACTCTGTGTGAGTTTGAGGTCAGCCTGGTCTACAGAGGAAGTTCCAGGACAGCCAGGGCTACACAGTGAGACCCTGTCTCAAAACCGCCCAGAAGATAACATATTCTCCTCAAGAGATCATGAAAATAAAGGCAAAATGACTCCTGAAGGTTCTGGTAGTTAACAGTGCTGTCAAAATGTAGTGGGTTCTTAGAACAATTGTTATTAATTATTAAAGATAGTAATTGGATCCTCTATGCAGACCCTGCCTGTCTCTTTACTCCAAAAAGCTATGTTTTGCTGGTAGGTGTTTGTAAAGCATAGAAAACTTGACACTGTGCATGTCATTAAGCAAATTAGAACCTCAGAGCTGGATTAAAACAATTACATATAATCAAGTAGTTCAATTTAAAATAGCAATTAATTAGAAAATAATAATTGAGAAGAATAGCTAGAACTAAGCATGGCAATGAATTCTACACTCAAAATCAATTTTAAAAGAAGTTCATTGTGGCTTTATTCCTAATAGCCAGAAACCAGAAACAACCTAGATGTCCCTCAACCAAAGAACTGATAAAGAAAATGTGGTACATTTATACAATGGAGTGTTGTTCGGCTGTTAAAAAAATAGGACATCATGAAATTTGCAGACAAATGGACGGAACTAGAAAAAATCATCCTGAGTGAGGTAGTCCAGACCCAGAAAGACAAATATGGTATGTACTTATTTATAAGTGGATATTAGTTATTAAGTAAATGATAACCAAGCTACACTCCACAGGCCCAGAGAGGCAGGTAGAGAGGAGGGCTCTGGGGGGATGCATGAATCTTTCTGGGAAGGGAAATAGAATAGATTTTGTTGGTGGGCTGGAGGTGGGTGGGAATGGGATTGTGAGAGATCAGGTTGTGAGGGGTGGGAGGGATGGAGGGATAGAGTATGGGGAGAGACAGACAGAATTGGGGGCACTGGAGGGGGCGGTGTGGAAACCTAGCACAGTGGGAACTTCCTGAAATCACGAGGGTGACCCTAGCAAGGACTCCTAGTAATGGAGGATATAGAATCTGAACTGGCCATCAGCCGCAGCCAGGCCAGCCTTCCAGTGGTGGGACAGGGTTGCATTTGGTTTAGTTGTTGCCTAAGGGGGTCCCCTGAAGATCCCTAAACAACCCAGGCTGATGCTAGGACAGAAGGTCTCTCTCTGAAAACCGACAGGGGGCCGCACTGCAGAGGACAATGTCCACTTGTAGAGAGGCCGAGCTGGTGCCTGCATGGAGCCTTCACCCCTACATTCTAGTCTCTGGCACAAGAAGGTACTCTGAAGGCTACGGAAAGAGAAACCGGACATCAACCCAACCACAAACCCTGGACCTACACTCTGTCCTGCCTTCAAGATGTGCTGGGCAATGGCTGCGCAGAACTTGTGGGAGTGGCCAACCAATGTTTGTTTCACTTGTGGCCCACTCCAGAAGAGGGAGCCATGCTCTACTCTGCTTGGATGGCTAGGGACCCGGGAGACTGCACAGCCCAGGGATCCAGAATGGAACCATACAACTGTCAAAAACAAAACAAAACAACAACCAAAAAAAAAAAAAAAAAAAAAAAGGAAGAAAGAAAGAAAGAAAGAAAGAAAAAGAAATCTAATGATAGTCTGCTATACTCACAGATCAGTACCTTATCCAGTCATCATCAAAGGGAATTCCTCTGGTGGCAGATGGGAGCGGGTACAAAGACCCACAGACATTATATGGAGACAGAATCCAAGTTAGAGGTCTCTATCGGGCGGTCCTTGGAGATTGGAGAATTCAGCAGAAGACCAGGAGGAAAGACTGTAGGCGTCAGAGGTATGGAGGACACCGGGAGACCAGGGCCCACTGAATCAACTAAGCAGGGCTCGCATGGGCTCAGACTCTGACGCAGCAAACACACGGCCTGCAAGGGTCTGCACCGGGCTTTCTGAGTGTGTTACGGCTGTTAGCTTGGTGCTTTTGTGGACTCCTAACAGTGGGATAGTGTGCTTCTCTGACTCTTCCGCCTGCTCTGGGGACTCCTGGTCCTGTTGGGTTGCCTTGTCCAGCCTCTTGAGGGCTTTAGCCTTGTCTTAGTGTATCTTGTTTTGTCTTGTTCAGCTGTTGTCTCTTGGAGGCCTGCTCTTTTCTGAAGAGGAAATGACGGAGTGAAATGAGGGGGGAGAAGGGAATGTGTGTGTGTGTGTGTGTACTAGAAAGAGTGGAGGGAGGGGAAACTGTGGCGGGATGTAATAATATGAGAGAAGAATCTATTTTCAACAGAAAAAAAAGAAAAGAAATTGGGTGAGCCGGAGATTGTGGGATGGGTAATAAGTCTAAATTTTCCAGGAGTTTTTTGAGTTATAGAGAAGAAAAAGAATATTATCTATCAGAAAATGGAAAACACACAGAAAATAATCAAAGCGTATCAGCTTATAGCTCATACAACACAGTTTTCCTGTAACTTTTGTAGGTATTTCCACCAAACTGGCTCCTGATGCTCCTTCACTCTGCTTTTATGTCCCCACATCTTTTTGCTGACAACCAATCCCAAGCTACTTACTGATGAAGGATGTGTTACCAAGGTATCCCCTGCATGTGAGGGTCACTTCCAAGAATGTGGAGTCTCATCCACAATGTAGTACTGTCTTTCCAAAGAAATCCAAGCCCAGTTTAGACGGAAAGCTTGATTGGTCAGTTTGTTTCCTCCTAGGATTGATGGGGATAAAGAAAACATCAGCAGAAGCGATGAAAATTAATGATCAGGGCACTTAGAATTATTATTCTTTGTAGAGGAGAAAGGATCTTTAATTTTCTAGAGAACATTGTAAGTGATTCCCACCACATGGGTAGCAATCACCACAGGGGTTGCATATCAGATATTCTGTACATCAGATTTTTACATTAAGACTCATAACAGTAGCAAAATTACAATTATGAAGTAGCAATAAAAATAACTGTGTGGTTGGAGTCACCACAACATAAGGAACTGCACTAAAGGACCACAGTGTTAGGAAGGCTGAGAACCAAAGGCGTAGAGAAACAATACTACAAATTGTTGGGCACAAATGAGGTATCCAATACATGTCAGCTACTTTCATCAGGGTTTTTATTTATTTATTTTTAATTTTTTATTTGTGTGTGTGTGTGTGTGTGTGTGTGTGTGTGTGTGTGTGTGTGCGTGTGTGCAAGCACATGTGTGTTTAGGTATGTGCACATGGGTGAAGGTGCCAGTGGATGCCAGGAGAGGGTGTCAAAGCACTTAGAGCTGGCGTTACAGACTATTGTGAGTTTCTCAACTTTCATCATAGTTTTAAAGGAATGCAGACCTGATATACACCAGGCTCTCTACCCCTGGTGTAATATACCTTTGACTAATAACTGGATTATTTATATTTTTAAATTTCTGCTAGCCTTAAGAACAGTCTCTACTTCTGTCCTAACATCTCAATTCAAGGCATTCTCCTACTTCTCTCTGCCCAGTTAGCCTAGTCCTTGAGCAAGATAAGTAAATATGAAAGCTTAGGCCTCAGGCCTGAGCTTACCAGTCTCTGGCCTGACACCTAAGGCAAGCCCTTGCTTTCTGCAAGCCCATGCTTGCTGTTGAACTGCCTATCGATTCGCTCTAGAGAAATGAGAAACATAGGCAGTGTGGACAGACAGCTGGTGTGGACAAACAGCCAGTGTGGCAAGACACCCAGCAGATGTTTGCACCAGGTGTGTTGGGGGGAGAGGCCAGATGAAGCCAAGAGGTGAGGTCCATCTATAGGGGTTTTGAGGCTGTTGTTGCTAACATTGATAAATAACAGCAGCCTCGCCGGGCGGTGGTGGCACACGCCTTTAATCCCAGCACTCGGGAGGCAGAGCCAGGCGGATCTCTGTGAGTTCGAGGCCAGCCTGGGCTACCAAGTGAGCTCTAGGAAAGGCGCAAAGCTACGCAGAGAAACCCTGTCTCGCAAAACCAAAACAAAACAAAAACAAAAACAAAACAAAACAAAACAAAACCAAAAACCAAAAACCAAAAAACAAACAAACAAACAAAAAAACGGCAGCCTCAGAAATAAAGAAACAAATATCTAAGAAACAGCTTGACAGAGCTTCAGTGTGAGGATACATGCTGCAAGTACATACACTTAGACACTGTGAAGAAAAAAAAAACTAGTCATGAAATATAAGAAGCTCCAAGTGGTAAGACAGCATAAGAAACTTCATACCCCTTATATTGATCATCTCCCACAGACTGGTTCTAAATATGCACCATTAAAATATGGTAAAGACATTATTATATTTGAGTTAAATATGGACTTTTGTCAATGACAGCATTGGGTGCTGGACCTGGCCTATACATGATGCCACCCTTAAGAGGTGGAGCCTCCTGGAGGAGTTTAGCTCACTGAACCATGTCTTTGAAGGGACTATCACTACTCCAAGCTCTTCCTCATCCTCCCTTCCACCTTGGCCATGAGGAAGGGTCTTTTTCCCCATAGACTCCCATTGTGATACTCTCAGCCTTGCTACAGCTCCCAAATCAACAGGCCAACAATGGGCTGCAGCCTCTAATGTTGTGAAGCATAGTAAATGTTTCTTCTTTTTATTTTGATTATGTCAGGTACTTTGTTACAGTAAAGAAAAGCTGACTAACACAACTATTAACGAATGATAGAGATAACAACTTAATTGCAGAATTTCTGACTTCCTGAAATGTGAGCGACTGCTATGTAGGTTTAAATAATTCCAGACAGTTTACTATCTTAAATTTTAGTGGGGAAGTTGAGCTACCCACTCCCTTCCCAGTGTGACATCATGTCAGATCTGTACCTGAGAACCTGAAGTCCTTTCCATCCAAGGGAAAGTTACATTGATCCTTATCGGATCCCAGGTTCAAGTTGCCAACCTCGATGACAGCCCCAAATGCATACAAAGTTGAGAGTGCATTTACAGAGCTTAGGTCCTGAATGCATGTTGTTACAGACTACACTCTGTCAGCCACATTTCTGAAACAGAGCTCAGGTCACCAGAGCAGTACCCTGTAAGCCTTGGGGTTTTGAAGCCATGTCTGCTGACATGGACACTGGCTATAGTATCAAGGGACCTCATATGTCACGAAGGAACTTCCTTGCAGTAGCCAAGCCAGTTTCTCCTGAGAAACACTCATGGCTGGGTGTGGTGGTGCATGTCTTTAATCCCAGCACCTTTATACATTTGGAACTCATTCTGAGGCTAATTTACTCCATTGTGGTGTTATTATATAGTAGGAAGGTTTCTCTGCTCCCACCAGTCCCCTGCAGTCCTGTGGCCTGCTTATAAAATAATCACTCAGAAACTTATATTAATTATAACGGCTTGGCCATTAGCTCAGGCTTATTGCTATCTCTTACACTTAAATTAACCTATAATTCTTATTTATGTTTAGTCATGTAGCTTGGTACCTTTTCTCAGTTAGTTCTGCCTTGACATCTTGCTACCTCTGTGTCTGGCTGGCGACTCCTGATTCAGTCCTTCCTCTTCCCAGAATTCTGTGGTCTGCTTGCCCCACCTGCCTGACTACTGGCCAATCAGTGTTTTATTTATCAACCAATCGGAGCAACACATATTCACAGCATACAGAACAACATCCCACAGCATTATTATTCCTCTTTAAACATTCTGAATCTAAGAAAACTTCTCTTTGTGGGGCAATAAACGGTATTTATGATCATACTTAGATCAGCTCTTCATCTCCACTTGACCTAACAAGGGCACAAAGTGATAATGCTTTTTTTTTTCAGTGATGGGACATGAATCCAGGGCTTAGAGTCTTCTAGGAAGTCCTCTACCACTGAGCTACATGACCAGTGCACAGTGAGACTCATGTCTTTACAACTGTCTCATCAGGTTGAGATATGTAAGAAAAATACATTAAATTTTTATCCAAGTACTATATTCAGTAGTATATTTTATACAGTTATCAAATTATCATATTGTATACTATAAATACACACAAATACCACTGAGCAAAAAAGACAAAACCTCTAGGTATTATATCCAGGAAGACAATACCTGATTTATCTTAGTTACTAAGTCTTATTGTAGAAATAAAGTTTTCTTTAAAAATACAAGAATTTAGAATTAAAATTAAAAATAAAAATTGGGTCAGCAGTGCTTGTAGACAAACCTGATGACCTGAATTCGATCCCAGAACCCACAAAGCAGGAGGGACTCAACCCCTGCAAGCGGATTGTGCTGGGGATGTGGCCCAGTGGTACACTCTGACCTTCTCACATGTCCTGGGCATGTAGCTCAGTGGTACACTCTGAGCTTCTCACATGTGCTGGGCATGTAGCTCAGTGGTACACTCTGAGCTTCTCACATGTGCTGGGCATGTAGCTCAGTGGTACACACAGAATAGAAAATAAATGCAAAACATTTAAAACTTAAAAAGGGATTATAAACAATTAGAGAAAAACTTGAAACTATATTTAATAAATCCTGACTCCCAAATAGGCAAAATTAAATACCAAATGATAAATTAGCAGCAATTGTCAAATGTTTAAGACCTTTAAATTTTGGGGAGAAAATATTGTTGAGTAGGGTATTTGGGATGCTAATAATTTAAATGAACACTTTCATGTTCAAATAACTTCAATTGTCATAAGCATTTCACTCCTGCAGCTCTTATCATAATATAGCTTAACATGTATTTAAATTCATTTGCAGCTTTTTATTATGAATTTGGGAGTATAATTTGGGGCTTACAGCTGTTGCATAGTTCATACCATTCAGAAAACATTTCACAGTGCCTTATGGGGATGCATTCCTCTGAATTATGCTTTGATATGCACAGTTGCATGGCCTCAGATTAAAAATAGAAGTCTTTTTTCCCCCTTCCAAACAGCTATAAATTTGGGTAAAAGAAACCTGAGATAGAACAGTTTCCAAATTAAGAAAGAGAAAAGCTGAGTTGCATGTCCCCTGGGTCTTCGTTTACTTCCCAAAGTCTTCACCCAAGTGTCTGGAGTTGTGGGTGACAGTTTCTGACGTTGTGGGGAAGCCATGTCACTCTCCCCCCAGACAGGGTGATCCTCCAGGTGGCTGCAATTCCTCAGGCTTTGATTTAAGTCACATTTATTCAATTATTCTATAGGTCAGCCCGATTCTCCCCCCTCAGTGCTTCAGGGTTCTGGGAGGGAGAGACCACCTCCGTGCAGAGTCAATATCTCAGACTCCAGCATTCTGTTCCTGAGATGGTGGACTATTCTTGTGTAACTACACATTAAGGTTTTCAGAAAAGAAGTAAAAAACCAAAATTAAAGTCTCCCAAAGGCTTGAGATCTCTGTAACTGCTTCTCTAGTTGTATTGACCTAAGCTGTTGTGGAGTATTACTTTAACTATGAAAGTGTGTTGCATTCATTTGTGCTGGATTTGTTTTGTTATGTAAAGATGTGTTGCATTTGTTTGTGCTGCATTTGTTTTGTTATGCAAAGATGTGTTGCATTAGTTGCACCTTGCCTGCCTCAGGCACTTGATTTCTAATAAAAAGCTGTACAATATCTAGGCAGGAGAGGGATAGGCAGGCTGATGGGCAGAGAGAATAAGGAGGAGGAATCTAGGCAAAAGGAAAGAAAAGGGAGGAGAGAGCGAGGGAAGAGGAGAGGGACATGGCCGGGGCCAGAAGCCAGGCAGCTCCCTGCCTGCCAGCTCTGGAGACATCAGGAGAAGTAAGATATGCAG